GTTTAATGCTCTTGACATGAAACACGCTTTACTGCCCGGGACAACCTACTTAGGGATGAACTTTGAAATCCCAGGAACACAAAAATGAAGGGAAAAAAAATACCCCAAAGATGATGCACCATATACAGCTGCCCAATCTGAGAGAAGAATCCTCCGACGGCTTCATTCCCATCCTGCCTGAAGCGGATGGCACGAGCCCTGCAAGAGAAGAAACAAAGTTCAGACACTGAACCAGGTATGTTAAAAAAACCACCAGTGCATGTCCTCCATACTCAGCGCAAGTTGTTCAGAACGAAGGGTAATTTTTAAATTACTGAATGCATTAGAAAGTTACTTTAATGTACATGAGATGGAAATGTACCTTTCTGTAGCTGTATTAATCATCTTTGTGAGAAGTGGAAAGTAATTGATAACTATAAAAACAACATGAGGATACACGGTTGCACTGCTGATTCTTGACGTGAAGTCAAGAAAATTGGCAGAGGATAGGACCTGTCAACTTGAAAAGAGTTGCTGTCCCCAGACTACACCGAGAGAAAGTGAAGGAATTCTGGATCCTAGGATATCCAAGATGCCACAGGGACCTTCCCTCAAGGATGGGGCTTAAAACAAAGACGACAGAAGCACACCTTTAAAGCAGCTGCAGACAGTAAACTCTGAGAAACATGCAAGCTCTCTGATCCACAGGGGGACTCCGCGACCCTGGGACAGCACATGGGAGAACCACGGAAGTGAGCTTCCTGGCAATACGCCGTTACTACCACCACTGTCCAGACTGAAGCTGCCTCTTTCCCCTTTACCTGAGCAAACCGGTAGAAAAATAAGTAACAAGTGGCATTCATTATGTACTATGTGTGCAGGAAGGTGTGTATATACGTGTGTCAACATGTATAACATGAAATTGTGATTAAGTTGGTTAAAAATTGGCACTTGTCTCAAACTTTGCTTTGTAAGATTTCCTGCTACAAAAGATATCAGCTCTTTAAACACCTTCTTTCATATTTGCACCAGTACTTTATATTTAGTCATGCACCTGAAATCCCAAACAAGTTGTAAAAACCTGTATATTTTTCCAAAAGCAGTTTTCTAGAATCAAAGTTGAAAATGAAGGAAGCAGCTTCAAGTGATGTAGGGAGGTCACAGCCTGAGCCTCGCAGGAGACTCCAGGCCACACACTGCCCAGCGCACTGGCATCAATTCTGCCCAGGCTTTGGCCTGCCGTCTCAGTCACAGCAGGGTCCTGGAGTGGACAGGACTTGGGAAGATATATTCATTCTAATTCATTTAAAAGAGCTGGAGGCTGTGAACAAGGGTATCAATCTACTAGTATCCACAGTGAGAGACAGATACTTGAGTTGGCCTGACCAGTGCATTCTCTTCTTAGAGTAAACATCATAGCAACTGAATCAGAACATCTCAAAGTGGAGTGAGGAGTCAGAGCAAGGGCGGCCTGCGGAGGAGGGGAGAGAGGAGGAAGCCAGGCTCCTGAGGACCGCTGTACACACCTCAGCTCTCATTCACCAGGTGTTCAGCTCCGCGAAGGGAACCCACGCTCTCCGGTTCTTCTGTCGTGAAGGAGGGATCTCTTGCTATTGCCCCCCGGGGTTACCTCCAAAGGGATGTTAACTTCTTTAACCTTACTTTTAATATTAAATGATCATAATCTTCACAGAAATTACAAATCTGATTAGTAATTACTGAAATTAACCAAATCACTTTAATGTGCATTCTAACTGAAAGGGAAAAAAAAAGCCTAAGTTTCATTGATAGTGATAAATATTCAGGATTGTTCTTTTCATTCTGGATCTTTCTCATTCACTTATAGTAGGCAAAGAAAACATACCTGCCTTAGTCTGGAAATAATCAGAAGCATGTACTGAAGAGGAGATCACCATCTTAAATAGTTACCTATGTGCCAAAATATAAATTGAATGCTGAACTGGTTTATAAATAATTTAAAACC